CTGAAGGGCAGTTACAGAATTGTTAAACGCATATTAACATTCTAGAGTGTACTTTCAAAAGGGAAATCGTTGAGACAGGTTAATTGAGTTTATGTATAAGAAGGGAGGTTATGATTTGTCAAGTGAGAAGTAATTTTTCGGGCCATGGAATGATAACAGCTGAAATGAATCTCTCAAAAGCTAGGGAATTTGACAGAGGAATATTGTGCCTAAACAAATCCATTAGAGCAGAAACATCTTAAGGAACATTTGAAGAAATATGGTTAAATCATGGGAAACCAGACTCCCTTATTAAGATGCTAGAAACTAATGAGACCTAAGGTGGTGTATTTGTTGTTGCTTGAAAGGGTTCAAAACCATGTCTCGAGCAGGGGCAAAGTATGAGCCTTGAAAAAGCACAATCAGTGTACCTACCGACATAGATTTAGTATGCAGAAGAGATAGTACGCACAGGGGCGGGGGGAGGTGAAGCAGAAATAGTAAAATGAAGGAACTAATGGCTGACGTTGGTTTATAATGAGAGATGAGGATCATCCAAAAAATGATCCCAGATCAGAAATTGGAAAGAGGTAGCCAATTTGAAGGCAGCATTAAATCCTGGCATTGAAATGGACCTCGAGAGAACTTCCAAGTACAGGACTAAACTAGAGATTCCCTAGACGGGACACCTCAAAGCCTTACCTGGTGCCTCATGACGTGGATGTTCCCACATTCCCTCTCTCTGGTCTTTGACAAAATGTCTGGGGGAGGAGAAGATAGACCTGATTGGTGGGGTGGGTTCCCACCATAGAAGCTTTAGTAGAGCATAGTGTGATGGAGACAGCTTGCCCTTAAAGAATCACACATACCTGAATTCGATTCCCAGCTCTGACCTTGAACAAATGACTTAATATCCCTAAAAGACATGAAGAATTCTGTGTATTCAAGTAACTCCTATTTTTCTTTCTTTTTAATTTTTTAATGTTTTATTTATTTCTTTTGTTTAATAGTTTATTGTCAAGTTGGTTTCCATATGACACCCAGTGCTCATCCCCACAAGTGCCCTCCTCCATGCCCATCACCCCCCCTCCCTTCCCCCCCACCCCCAACAGCCCTCAGTTTGTTCTCAGCATTCAAGAGTCTCTCATGGTTTGCCTCCCTCCCTCTCCCCCACTATTTTACCCCCTTCTTCTCCCCCACGGTCCTCTGTTAAGTTCCTCCTAATCCACCTATACGTGCAAACATATGGTATTTGTCCTTCTCTGCCTGATTTATTTCGCTCAGCATAACACCGAGTTCCATCCACGTTGCTACACATGGCCAGATTTGATTCTTTCTCATTGCCATGTGGTATTCCATCGTATAGATAAACCACATCTTCTTGGTCCATTCGTCCATTGATGGACATTTAGGCTCTTTCCATGATTTGGCTATTAGCACAAAGCCCGATGCAGGGCTCGAACCCACGAACCATGAGATCGTGACCTGAGCCGAAGTCAGATGCTCAACCAACTGAGCCACCCAGGCGCCCCCCCCCCCCATGACTCCTATTTTTCATGTGCCTGGGTTGTCCATCTGATTTTCATTCCTTTCTTTTTTCCTTTTTCCTCCAGTTTTATTGAGAAATAATTGACATACATCACAGTATAAGGTTAAGGCATACAATATGGCAGTTCAATTTACATATATTGTGAAATGAGACCCACAAAGGGTTCATCTCACGTCCATCACCTCCTATAGATACAATAAAAAGAAAAGAAAGGGAGAAGAAGGAGAAATATTTCTCCTTGTGATGAGAACTCTGAGGATTTACTCTCTTAACTTCCCTGTCAGTCACACAGCCATGTTAGCTGTAGTCGTCACATTGTATGTCACGTCCCTAGTACGTTTGTATCTTCTAACTGGAAGTTTGTACCTTTTGACCACCTTTCTCCAATCCCTGTCTCCACCCTGGCCCCAGTAACCACAAGTGTGATTTCTTTTTCTAGGGGCTTGGTTTGCTTTTGTTTTTGTTTTTTAATTTATTTTTTTTGTGCTCCATCAATCACATTTTATTACACAAATAACTCTCTCACTGTTTGATGTCCAGAAAACCGATATCAGCCCCTTATTTCTAGCAAGCAGCTCATTTTCTTGATACATTGATCTAACTTGCCTATTGGATTACTAATGATCAGTTTCTTTTTTTCTTCTTTCATAGTTTATTGTCAAGTAATAACCCAGTGCTCATCCCCACAAGTGCTCTCCCCCATGCCCATCACGCCCCTTCCCCTCCCCCCCACCCCCATCAGTCCTCAGTTTGTTCTCAGTACTCAATAGTCACTCATGGTTTGCCGCTTTTGTTTTTGTTTTAGATTCCACATGTAAGTGAGATCATACGGTGTTTGTCTTTCTCTGAGTTATTTCAGTTAGCATACTGCCTTCAAGGTCCGTCTATGTTGTTGCAAATGGTAGGATTTCCTCATGTTTTAGGCTGAATAATATGCCAATGTATATATACACCACACCTTCTTTATCCACTCCTTCTTCAATGGGCGCTTAGGGTGTTTTCCTTTCTTCTTCTCTCCCCCTTCCCCTACCCCGTCCTCCTTCTAATGCTGTTTCTTTTTTCTAAATATATTTTAACAGTTTATTTATTTATTTTGAGAGAGAGAGCATGAGCAGGGGAGGGGCGGAGAGAGAGAGAGATGATTCCAAGCAGTCTCCCCGCTGTCAGCATGGAGCCTGACGTGGGACTCAACCCATGAACCGTGAGATCATGACCTGAGCCCATATCAAGAGTCAGACGCTTAACCGACGGAGCCACCCAGGTGCCCCTAACGCTGCTTTCTAAGACCTATCATTAGCTTTATGTCCCAACCCTTTCACTGAGGTTTTAATTCCCCTTGTCTTATTTCTAATTCCTCTTGCTTCATGCTTGCAATGTCTCCTCCAATCCCTCCGAGGATGTCAGTCAGATTTTCCTTCTTAAAAGAGCTTCAGGGACCTGCTCTAAGAGACTAGACGTCCGGTCTTCTGCTAGGGTCGGGAAGGGAAGTTCTTTGGCTCTGCAGCGTCGGGGAGGGAACCGGCAAGTCTGTCCCCGTCTTAGGTGAACTTCCAACCAGTCCTGCTTCTAGCCTCTCCTTCCCTCCCACTTCCAGAGGAACCTGGCGCTACAAATCCCTGAGCCTTTTTGGAGTTTCTTGGTATCGGCTGAGTTGCGTCTCAGCTTTCCCTATGGACGACTTGGGATGTCAGGTTTCCCAGCTCTACTAACTCAGTTACTACTTGTCCATCTGCTGTCTCTGTCCCAGAATTTGTGGCTTCTCTCCTGTGTCCCCTGCCCTTGGGTATTCATGCCCTTTTAACCTTCCTTTACTATAATTTTATCAGAGTTTTGAGGAGGGAGCAGAGCTAAAGGTGTGATTTCCATTTGCCATCTTTAACCAAAATTCTCTTAATTCAACCTATCTTCCATACCCATCACTTACATTTTAACCATCCCCACATTAACAGATTCTTACCACTTTGTATCTAGTCTTCTTGTCTCTAGTTTCTCTTCTTTTAGGTCTGTCCTTTGCCATGTTGGGGAAGACTGTATTATGGACCTCACAGCTCTGAGTGTAAAGCCCTTCCGGCTGTTTCTGGACGTCTACATTCCTTACCCTGCCATTCCAAGCCTTCCACAACCTAACTTCTGCCCACCTCTTCAACCTCATCTTTTAGGCTTTCACATACACTCGCACCCATATGCTTGTCCATACTCACCTCTAGCGCTGAGCCAGCTTGTCTGGAACAAATAGGAGCATGATGACTGGGCTTGCCTGGTGAGTTAGCCAGTAGATTCAGCAGCTGACCTGTTGCCTTTTTTAAAAAAATTTTTTTAAATTTATTTCTGAGAGAGAGAGAGAGACAGTGTGAGCAGGGGAGGGGCAGAGAGAGAGGGAGACGCAGAATCTGAAGCAGGCTCCAGGCTCTGAGCTGGCTGTCAGCACAGAGCCTGACGCGGGGCTTGAACCCACGAACTGTGAGATCATGACCTGAGCTGAAGTTGGCCGCTTAACCGACTGAGCCACCCAGGTGCCCCTGACCTGTTGCTTTTGAGTGATTAATTTAAAGCTCTTGTTTTAAGTGAACACTTATTGGACTTGAGCCTTATAGCCCATTTCAGTTTAGGATTCTAAAATCTGTTTTTAGGGGCACCTGGGTGGTTCAGCGGGTTAAACATTTGACTCTTGATTTCTGCTCAGGTCATGATCTAGCGGGTTTCGTGAGTTCAAGCCCTGCATCGGGCTCTGCACAGACAGCTTGGAGCCTGCTTGCCATTCTCTCTCTCCCTCTCCCTCTCTGCCCCTTCCCCACTCACAAAGACAGTCTTTGTCTTTCTCGAAATAAATAAATAAAACGTTACAAAACTTACAAACTCTGTTTTTATTATGTATTTTCTTTTTGTTTAAAAGCTTGTTTATCTATCTATCATCTATCTATCTATCTATCTATCTATCTATCTATTTTGAGAGAGAGAAAGTGCGCACAAATGGGCGAGGGGCAGAGAGAGAGAATCCCAAGCAGCATCCACACTGTCAGTGTGGAGCCTGACACAGAGCTCCATCTCACGAACCTGGAGGTCATGACCTGAGCTGAAACCAAGAGTCGGATGCTTAACTGATGGACTGAGCCACCCAGGCGCCCCTAGTGTACGCATTTTCTTAATCGTGTTCACTCTGTTGCATATTGAGGTTTTCCATAGTATATTACTCTACATCTCATTTGTTTTCTGCTGGACTCTGGAGGTGCAAAGGCAAGTAGGATGTGGAAATGATGTCCAGTAATGAACTGCTATCTTATTATATGGTATTGGGTTTAAGTTCCAGCTCAATGACTGGTTTTCCACAGAGAGATTTAATATTCTTTTAGGATATGGCCTTATAATTTATTATATCCTTTCCACCAAAAGAATGTTCTGATATTCACATCAAGTATGATTTTAACATTTTCCCAAAAGCATATTGTTTCCTGATGACTCTTTTTCTCCCTAGTATCGTCTTTGCCGACCTCTTTTTTATGAACCTGATTCTTTGGGTGGAAGGCTCATCGGCTGCCACCTCCTTTGGTACTCTGATAGGGAGTCTCGCAGTGTGGTTTGGAATTTCAGTACCACTAACATTTGTGGGTGCTTACTTTGGAACCAGGAAAAAGGTAAATGTCTAAAATACTGCTTTGGACCATTGATGTCTGAAATAATACCTTGATGTGCATATTACTATACATGGAATGTGAAATGTACCATTGGAGAAAACTACAAAGAATCATCCTATTATTCATTTATTTAAATGTTTATTTATTTTCGAGAGAGAGAGAGACAGAGTGCAAGCAGGGGAGGGGCAGAGAGAGAGGGAGACACTGAATCTGAAGCAGGATCCAGGCTCCGAGCTGTCGACACAGAGCCTGATGTAGAGCTCGAACCCACAGACCGTGAGATCATGACTTGAGCCGAAGTCAGATGCTTTAATTGACTGAGACACCCAGGCACCCCTAGCATCATCTTTTAAAAAATATTTTATTTTTGGGGCGCCTGGGTGGCTTAGTCGGTTAAGCGTCCGACTTTCTGACTTTCGCTTAGGTCATGATCTCGCGGTTTGTGGGTTCGAGCCCCGGGTCGGGCTCTGTGCTGACTGCCAGCTCAGAGCCTGGAGCCTGTTTCAGTCTGTGACTCCCTCTCTCTCTGACCCTCCCCTGCTCACGCTGTCTCTCTCCTAGAAATAAAAAAAAAATAAAATAAAAAATAAAAAATATTTTATTTTTAAGTAATCTCTACACCCAGCATGGGGTTCGAACTCACAACCCCAAGATCAAGAGTCACACGTTCTTCTGACTGAGCCAGCCAGGTGCCCCAAAATAATCATTTCAGAATAAAAGACTTGAGAAATTTTTAAAAATGGAACACAGCAACCCTTTAAAAGACATTATTTAATGTACTCCGCACTTTATAGGTTGTGTAAATTTCTCTCTCTGTTGGACAAAATTAAAAGGATGTATTGTAGGAAGGCGGACCTCGACCAGGTCAGTAAAGAATACAGTGGGGAAAGAAAGCTAAGGTACAGTGTGAAAAATGGAGCTGTTGAGTTTATAGATTTGAAGTTAGCCTGTCCTAGGTTTAGAGTAAAGGAGAAGGACACTGAAAAGACACACTGGGGCCACTCTGCAAAAGGAACGTACAGAGACATACTGTGAGTTTGCAGGGGAGAAATCAGACAAGACAAAACAGAAACTGGGGGTCCACAGAGAGCCGAAAAAAGAAAAATGTCTGGAAACCATGGACACATTTTAAGAGAAATTCTGAGACGACTTTTTGACATGTATTACTTCAAATTGGAATAGGCACCACTAAATCATGTCCAGTCTCTCCCTTGAAACTGACAAGAAATGATAAGCATCCTTACTGCCTCACTGTGTGCTTGAAATGTGGCTGGTTCCAAACTGGTATGTGCTGTGAGGAGGTGTCAAATACACGGTGGATTTCAGACAGAACAACGGCAACCAAATTTAAAACATCTATTGTGTACTTCTTTTTTAAAAAGTTTTTTTGATGTTTATTTTTATTTTTTATTTTTATTTTTTTTTAAATGTTTTATTTATTTCTAGGAGAGAGAGAGACAGCGTAAATAGGGGAGGGTCAGAGAGAGAGGGAGTTACAGACTGAAACAGGCTCCAGGCTCCGAGCTGGCAGTCAGCACAGAGCCCGACGTGGGGCTCAAACCCACGAACCGCGAGATCATGACCTTAGCGAAAGTCGGATGCTTAACCGACCAAGCCACCCAGGCGCCCCTGATGTTTATTTTTAAAAGAGAGAGAGACAGACAGACAGACAGAGTGTGAGCAGAGGAGGGTCAGAGAGAGAGGGAGATACAGAATCAGAACCAGGCTCCAGGGTCTGAGATGTCAGCACAGAGCCCGACACGGGGCTCCAACTCATAAACTGTGAGATCATGACCTGAGCCCAAGTTGAACATTTAACCAACAGAGCCACCCAAACGCCCCTGTTGAGTACTTCTTACAGTGATGGCAAATGTAACTGAGACTATTTGGGAGTGTTACAGCCAATGAAATGTATTCATACATTAATTTTACCTGTTTCTTTTTACTTTTTAAAACGTGGCTTCTAAAAACTTTAAAACCGCATATGTGGCTTGCATTATATTTCTATTGCACAGTGTTGGTCTAGCTCTGCCCGCCTGATGGCTCTGGATAAGTGTTTTGTGTCCCGTTCCGATTCAGGATTGTGATTGTCTTGTGATTACACGTATATAAATTCCCTTCAATTTCATGTCCTTCTGACTTCCACCTGCTTTCTCTTTGAGCAGTTTAGGTATCCAGTTCACATGAACCTGATTCCCCATCACATTCCTCAGCAGAGTATTTTTACGAAACCGCTGTTTGGCATTGTGGTCAGTGGCATTTTACCTTTTGGCTGTATTTTCATTCAACTGTTTTTCATTCTGAACAGTATTTGGTGAGTACTGTATCTTTGCAACCTCAAAACGTCTTAACTATTGCTACATTAAATTCCCTATATTTCAAGGAGGTTAGGTTCTGGTATGGCGAACCTTCGTTTGCCTCTGGTTTTATCCAGGACATAGCCCTCTCACCCCGGGGGCGCTTCCTGAGGGAACTGAGACCTAACTCACAAGTTTCGAAAGACAGTTTTTGATGGAAACTTCTATGCAGGTTTCCTTTTTCAAAAAGCAATGACCTATTTTTAAGCCTTTAAAGATGACTTAAAAAGTTGGTTCATGGGGCACTTCTCTGAGCCTTTGCAGGGGTGGGGCAGGGGGATGTCCCTTGGAAGGGAGTGCCTAAAGATGGGGAGAGGCAGCCCTGATGTGTATCTGTTTTCCATACCGCCCTTCCATGCAAGATTTCAGAGTTTCTCTGCTAAAAATACTTTGAAGACCATGGACTTAGGGTCTTCATCTATACTGAGCTGTAAGTGATGTTTTTCTGCTGTCCTTTCTGTCAATCCATAGTTCTGATGTCAGGATGCCTGCCTTCCTCACAGCTTTCCTCTTTTTATTTGCTACTTTGAATCTGTTGTGGTTTCAGAATTCTGATAAGCAAGATAGCTAGAAACGCAGGTCAGGTAAGAACCCAGGCTTTCCAAAGTGCGACAGTTCTTAGTTGCAAAGCACCAAGCTTTGTGACAGCTAGTTAAGTTCTCCCCAGTCCCTTTTTCCTTGATTCCTGACTCTTTAAAAAAAATTTTTAATGTTTATTTATTTTTGAGAGAGAGAGAGAGAGAGAAACAGCATATGAGCAGGGAAGGGGCAGAGAGAGAGGGACACAGAATCGGGAGCAGGCTCCAGGCTCTGAGGTGTCAGCACAGAGCCCGACGCTGGGCTCAAACCCACGAACCATGAGATCGTGCCCTGAGCCGAAGTTGGACGCCCAACCGACTGAGCCACCCAGGCGCCCTCTTAATTTCTGACTCTTGGCTGCATTCTGGTTTCAGGAGCTGGGCAAGTAGGGTGTCACTGAAGAGGGAGTTTTGGAGGTAGGGCAGAGGCCCCATTACATCAAATGGAGTAGCCAGTTGTGTGCGTTTCCGACACGTTCATTCCAAAGCGGGCTTTCAGACAAGGCTTTCAAGTGCTCCGAAGTTAGGCTTCATTATGCACATTAATTGTTCACCTGTTAAACAGCATTGTGGCAAATTTGTTTAAAAGATAAGCAATAAACACTCTTACCTTGTCAGCAACGAAATGTTTAACATGCTGCAAAATAGATTATGTAGCTGGATTTTCCAGATGCTTTTGATGGGATAATTTTGAAGTGAAAACTAAAAGCTTCTTTGGACAAGTTAACTTTTGTTTCAGTGAAAAGAAGTGTGCTTGCTGTCTACAACATTGTATATGCTTGTTATCTATAGAGATGATTCTCCCCAGCCCTCATTCTTTCTTCCTTGCACCCAGGTATATACTCTACATGAGATTAAAAAAATTTTTTAATGTTTATTTATTTATTTTTAAAATTTTAATGTTTTATTTATTTCTGATAGAGAGTGAGAGGCAGCGTGAGCAGGGGAGGGTGAGAGAGAGAGGGAGACACAGAATCCGAAGCAGGCTCCAGGCTCCGAGCTAGCTGTCAGCACAGAGCCCAACGCGGGGCTGGAACCCACGAACTGTGAGATCATGACCTGAGCCCAAGTTGGATGCTCAACTGACTGAGCCACTCAGGCGCCCCAATGTTTAATTATTTTTGAGAGAGAGAGAGACAGAGTGCTTGAACAGGGGAGGGTCAGAGAGAGAAGGAGACACAGAATCTGAAGCAGGCTCCCAGCTCCGAGCTGTCAGCACGGAGCCCGACACGGGGCTCAAACTCACAAACAGTGAGATCATGACCTGAGCTGCAGTTGGACGCTTAACTGACTGAGCCACCCAGGCAGCCCTACATGAGATTTTTAAATGGGATATTGATTGGCTCATCAGCTTCTTTTCTTCAGGAGGCTTTTAAAATTACTCATCCCAATTTAGTCAGCTCAGCTCTATAATAATGAACGAGGTGACTTTGTTCCTTCAAAGCCTGACATAAATGTAATGCCCGCAGAGCTTTAAAAAATGTAGTTCGGAAGTATATTTAAAGTTTTTCTTTTTTTCAAATAGTTTATTGTCAAATTAGTTTCCACATAACACCCAGTGCTCATCCCCACAAGTGTCCTCCTCCATGCCCATCCCCCCTCCCCCCCACATCCATCAGTCCTCAGTTTTTGTCAGAGTATATTTAAAGTTTTTAAATGTTTATTTTTGAGGCAGGAGAGACAGAGCACGAGCAGGGTAGGGGCAGAGAGAGAAGGAGACAGAATCGGAAGCAGGCTCTGTTTGAAAGTATATTTAATAGAATTATAAGTGCCGCGCTATCAAGAGCTATTTGGGGAGACCTGCAACGGCGACGTGGTATTTGATTCTGTGCTTTTTTGTTGTATAATGTAGTAACTGATATTTATGGCATTTAAAACTTTCCATTGCCAAAAAAAAAAAAAAAGCGTGACTTAACATGTACACAAAGAGGGGTGCCTGGGTGGTTTAGTCAGCTGAGCGTCCAACTCTTGAATGATCCCAGAGTCGTGGGATCGAGCCCTGAGTTGGGATCTGTGCTGAGTATGGAGCCTGCTTAAGATTCTCTCTCTCTCTCCCTCTGCCCCTCTCTCCCATTCGCTTTTTCTCTCTCTCTCAAAAAAAAAAAAAAAAAAAAAAACAAACAAACATAAAATGTGCATGAAGAAAATAATACAGATACTGATGGTTCTTAAGTGAAAACTACATTACACGAGATTCATTCCAAACCCTCATCTATTCACCCAACATCCAAAAACCATTCCCTGACCTGTGTGACTGTCTCTTGTATGCATCTGGATTGGTCTTTCTGCGTATTGTGAAGTTAATTTTAAAGCTATCATTTGTATTTTCAGGTCTCATCAGATGTACTTTATGTTTGGCTTCCTTTTCTTGGTCTTTATAATTCTCCTGATTACCTGCTCTGAGGCTATGGTTCTCCTGTGCTATTTCCATTTGTCTGCTGAGGTAAAGACCTAAAAAACGAAGGCACCTTCTGCCTCCCAAACTCGCATTATTGGAATTAGAAGCCTGTGTTGAGAAAGGAATTGAAACAAATGTTAACTACCTGGTTTCTTCAACTTGGGATCAGTTTTATATTGTGTTTCCCTGATGACACATTTTGATTTTGATGCAGGTTTGATGGAAAATCTCAACAGAAACCAATTTCTCTCTGGCTAGTTACTATAATTGCTGCACAGTATTCAGTTAACATAGAAAAATACAGGGAACTGATTTGATATTTAGACATATAAAAGAGCCGGCTCAATGGTGTTTTGTTGTTTTTTTGACGATTAAAAGTTTCACAGCTTGGGCTGGGATTGTATTTTATGGGTTTGAGATTGCTGCTAGAGGCCCTTTCTCTTACTTCTGGTTACCATGGACAGAAATAGCTCTGCTTACCCCACTGCACCCCCATTTTGTGTCCAATGTCATTCTGGGTAACTAAGGTGGTAGTGAGCATTATTTTCTTAAATCCCCTAAATCCCTCTTGTTTTGGTAGTTACAAGTGACTCTCTAAATGTAACTATAGAGAGTTTGGGGAATGAGTCTCATATATGTGATGTCTGAGAGCATTTTCTTCTTGAGCTATAAGTGTAAGGGTAAAAAAATTAGAATTTTGTATACATTATACTTAGCTTCTCATTAGTTCTATGGTATATTTTTGTCATATTTCTATCAGCCACAATCTTGAATGAAATATACACTCATAGGCATGTGATGTTTATATTTCTATTTCTTAGAAATGTTTTGAAGGCTCCCAACACTACCCACATGTCTGGTGGTTCACTGGAAAGACTCGTAGGACTCAGAATACAGATGTATGCATGACTAGGGCTTAATATGGCCAAAGGACACATGACAGGATCAGCAAAGGGAAAAGACACAGTTGGAACCTGGAGAAATCCATGGAGAAATCCATGTACAGTCTTCCTATGCAGTTTCTTTTCCACAACGGGACACACCAGTTATGCTCTCTTTTTCAGCAATAAAAAATAGAGTAATATGTGTGCAATGTTCCTGCCCAGGGAAGCCCATTAGAGACATCACATTCAAGGTTTTTTACTGGGAGCTGGTCACATAGGCACCCTCTGCCTAGCAATTATAAAAATTCCAGACTCCCCAAAGGAAAACATGTGTTCATCATAAATCACATTGTTTATACAGTCCAGGTATAGCAAACCAGTCTTATCAGTCAGGGAATGATTAAAGGCCGAATTCCCAGATATAAGCCAAGGGCCAACCTTGCAAACAGGCCCTTCTAAAGATAGCAGCTTCAGACCTGCTGCGTTAACTCTTTTCTGCACAGTAGGTCCCCTTGGCCCTTGACCACAATGCCTTTACAGTAAAATGAACATCAATTGGAGCCCGTGGGGAGAAGGGGGAGGCCAAGCCGCGTATTGACCTCAGTCATGCCTCCGTGGGTCCTGAATTCAGCTGGGTGAGACAAATTCCATTCATAAATGGGATAGAGCATAAAGCTCTCTCTGAAGTTTCCATGCTAACCTTTCTCTGCCCGGCCAGAGGCATCAAGTCAGGCCCAGCACAGCTCCCGCCAGTAAATTGAAGCTGATCTGAAAGCCTTCCAAGGCTGAGGCCGCGTCATGATAGAAAGGATGCGTGTATCACAAGTATGGTCCCCGAGGGCACACGTGGTCCCCCTGGAAGCAGGGAGTTTATAAGCGTTAAGGCCTCCCAAGCGGTTCGGCAATGTCCACTGTACTCAATTTCTTACAAAACTTCCCCTTTGATTTCGTTTAATCCACAATCTAACGGAGCCTATTTCCTCGTGGTTTGTTATCACAATAATTGCTAGCCTGTTTGGAGTTGGACTTCACCTACAAAGTTATTTTTTCTACTTCTTGCAGGATTATCATTGGTGGTGGCAAGCCTTTTTCACCAGCAGTTTTACAGCTGTTTATCTTTTCATGTACGCACTTCATTACTTCTTTACCAAACTTCAAATCACAGGCGTTGCAAGTACCATTTTGTATTTTGGGTACATGACGGTCGTGGTCCTGATTTTCTTCCTTTTTACAGGTAACTACAGAATGACTTCATGCATTTCAAACTCTCTGAAGAGACTCGGAGAGAGCCGTAATGTGATAAGCATCAATTAACAATTAATGGAAGGAATAGGGAACAAAATCATCATGTTTATTTTTATGCTTGGGGGAGAAAGGATTGTAAAGCCTGGGGAACCAGAGGACCTGACGTCCTTAGCTTCAAGATTGTCCCCTGTGAATGTTTCTAAACAGTGGAGATGTGTTCCAAAGCACATAAAGAGTTATGTGTAATCACCTGTGAGTAGCCTCCAAGCATAAAAATTAACTGGTTTGAATAACTTTTAAATTAGCAAAAATAGACTAACCAAATGTGTGGCCATATAAGCAATTAGATGCGTGGGACAAGATGCATACTTCTCAGGATTACTCATATGAGGCTGTTATTTGGGTTCAGGATGTGACTGCAGCTTTTGTTTAGATTAATGCTTGAAGTGGGTGACGAAATGGAGTGGTTTATAAAATGATCCCGCTATAGAAATAATGAGGCCAGAGAGCTCGGAACCCCTTTTCAGTTCAAGTGAGGCAGGATTCCGTCTCTATCTGCCTCATATGTTTTTTAAAAAAGATTTTATTGTATTCTTTTGTATTTTGTTTTTTCAGATGTTATTTTTAGGTGATTGCTATCCCCAATGTGGGGCTTGAACTCACAACCTCCAGATCAAGAGTCAAAAGCTCTTGGGTCGCCTGGGTGGCTAAGTCAGTTGGGCTTCTGACTTTGGGTCACGTTATGATTTGGCGGTTTGTGGGTTTGAGACCCCCGTCGGGCTCTATGCTGACAGCTTAGAGCCTGGAGCCTGTTTCAGATTCTGTGTCTCCCTCTCTCTCTGACCCTCCCCTGCTCATGCTGGCTCTCTTTCTCTCTCAGAAATAAATAAAACGTTTAAAAAAAAATAAAATGGAAGGCCTGAGAATGTCTCGCCATTCCCTTCTAACCAGGCTCCTTGTGTTTGTTTTGCAGTTTTTCTAAGTTTGTGTTGAAATATGTGTACAGAGAAACTCACACAGTACATGCAACGCAGCACAATGAGTTATTGCCAAGTGAACTCACTTTTGTAACTAGCGCCGTGTTACAGTGCGTGTTCAGCGTTCCAGAAGCCACCTGGGCCCACTCTCCTTCCCCGAAGGCAACAGCCCTCCTGACTCTTAGCATGTACTCTCTTATGTCTACTTTATTTCCCTCAGTATTGTTTTGGTGAGGTTCCTCTGAGGTGCTGTATGTAGATGTTGTCTACACCCTTCATGTCTTTTGTTTTGGATTTCTCCCCCAGCCACTGACTGGCTTTTGTATTTGGGTAATGTGGAGTTAGATGTGTTGAACATGGTAATTTCAGGCTTCTGTTTTCCTCATTACCTAGCACTTTGACTCAGGTTGCTTTTTTCTGGAAGTCTCGTATTACCACAGCTTTTTTTCTGAAGGAAGATGGAATCCCGAATGGTCACACTGCGGACAGAAATCTTCTCCCATTGGTTGGCTCCACCATTTGCAGTATCGTCTGTCACCTCCACTGAATTCTGACTCTGAAAGGTTCCCGGTGATCCCTTGCCAAATCTAATGGCCTTGCCCTTGCCTTCACCCTCCTTGGCTTCTGCTGCTCACTTCTTAGCACCTATTCTGTGAAACTCTCTCATTGTGATTTGCACTATGTTCCTTGGGCCTCTGGGCCTTCTTTCGCTTCCCTTCCTCATCCTGTCGCCTACCTCTAGCCTTTATCCATGCTCCATTCTTCAGTATGTCAGTCCTCTCTTTTACCATCCCCCTGTCAGAGCGAGTTCAGCCCTGTGACTTTGTTTACCTCCTCAATGCCGACAGCTGCTAAGTCTGCATCCCAGGCTATACCCTCTGTGTAGCTCGATTCTGAACATTTGCACGTGCCATTGGGCCTGCCGGCTCAACACCCCAACTCCAGTGAGGGTAACAGTTCCTCTCCTCGAGGCTGCCTCATCTTAACTTCTTTCCATCTTTGACCATCGTCTTTCATCTCTGATTCCTGTGGCTGATTTTTCAAGAATTCTTAACATAGCTCTTCCATGTTTTATAGCCCATTAAACTTCCCTATTTGTGCTTCTTTGGAAGTTTCTTATTTCTGTTCATTCTGTCCATTTCCTGCTTTTGGTCTTGGTCTAGACCTTTATTCCCTGATGCCAGAATTTCTCTGATAGCCTCCTCTTCAGTTTGCTGGATGCGAGTCTTTCTTTTTCTAGTCCACTCTGCACACTATTTGCTGGTGAACTTCTATCATTTTTTCCCCATTATATTAATGCAATTCAGTCCAAGATTAATTTTAACACGTCAACACATCTTTATAGAATGCTTACACTGCACTAGACACCATGCCAGGTGCTGGGGACATAGAGGTGAAGAAGACATAGGGCTCCCATGTTTTTGTGGACCTTATATTCTAATGTAGGGAGACAAGAAATTATTAGCTGGACAAACTTCATGAAGGAAATGGTATTAAAGAAAAGGTGGATGGTCAGCTGTTCAAGCAGAGGTGACAGTGTGTTCAGAAGTCCTGACATGGGAAGGAGTTTGACATCTTCAAAGAAGACAGACAAGGGGTGCCTGGGTGGCTCAGTCGGTTAAGCGGCCGACTTCAGCTCAGGTCATAATCTCGCAGTTCCTAAGTTGGAGCTCCGCATCGGGCTCTGTGCTGATAGCTTGGAGCCTGGAGCCTGCTTCGGATTCCATGTCTCCCTCTCTCTCTGCCCCTCCCCTATTCTCACTTTAACTCTCTCTCTCAAAAATAAATAAAACCTAAAAAAACAAAAACCCAAAGAACACAGAGAAGCTTAGGATGGCGTGAAAGGGAGGGTGGGCACTGGGAGGCAAGAGTGATGTTAGAGACATAAGGCACGGTCAGATCTTACAAGGGTCTTAGAAACAACATTAAAGAATTTAGTTTTATTGCAGGAGCCATAGGAAGTTGAGGGAGTTTAAAGAAGGGACTAATGTGATTGTATCATTATTCTCGTTAAATGCTTGTTTATTTTTGAGAGAGAGAGAGAAAGAGAGAGAGCATTAGCGGGGAAGGGGCAGAGAGAAGGAGACAGAGGATCTGAAGCGGGCTCTGTGCTGACAACAGAGAGCCCGATGAGGGACTTGAACTCATGAACCATGAGATCATGACCTGAGCTGAAGTCAGACACTCAACCGACTGAGCCACCCGGCGCCCGTCATTCTTCTACTTGGAAAACGTTCATAGTGCCATATGTCCTTGTCTATCAAAGGTAAATTTACCTTGAGGGTTTGGCTCCTGCTCTGCCTACTCAGTGTGTTTTCTTTTTTTTTTTACATTTAATTATTTTTGCGAGACAGAAACAGCATAAGTGGAGGAGGGGCAGAGAGAGAGGGAGACACAGAATTGGAAGCAGGCTCCTGGCTCTGAGCTGTCAGCACAGAGCCCGAGGCAGGGCTCGAACCCACAGACTGTGAGATCATGACCTGAGCCAAAGTCGGAAGCCCAACCGACTGAGCCACCCAGGCGCCCCTTAAGCCTCTTAAAGCTGAACCACTCATGAAGTGCAGGTGTGCTTCCTCCTGACTATTCCAGCTCAGAATTGGAATCTCCTTGAGAACAGGGACTGGTTCTTATGCCTATTTTGTATGCTTCATTGTGCTAAGCACATGGTTCTTCTTGACTTGTGTAGAGTATGAAAGAGAGGAGATACCATTATGGCATAATGTTTCCATATCTTTTTAAAAGTTACATCATAGGCATGAGAAAGCTCCTAAGTAAATTCTGGTTATCGTTCATACTAAGAAAAACACGAGTCAAATTATGAAGTGTGTTTGTGACATCTGTTTTCTGGAATTGTTCCTTATTTTATTTCATTTTAAATGTTTGTTTGTTTATTTATTTATTTATTTTTGAAAGAGAGAGACAGCACAGGGTCCAGGCTCTGAGCTAGCTGTCAGCACAGAGACTGATGTGGGGCTCGAACCCACAAACTGTGAGATCATGACCTGAGCCGAAGTCAGACGCTTAACTGACTAAGCCACTCAGGCGCCCCTAGAATTATTCTTTAAGAAGACCTGTCTGCTTACAGACCCTTAAATGGGATCTCCTTATATATCATCGTCATGTATATTTTTTTCTGTTGAATTGCTTTTATTTTTTCATTATCATTAGATTTTGAGGTCCACAGCAGGAAGCAGGTCTTATTCTCTATGTTCACGTTGTTTCGCTTCTGAGGAAGGTATCCTTAATTAAATCATTAGCCTTGAGAATATAGATGTACACAAAAGTACAGTTATTAATTGCTGATTACTCTTTCTTGCTGTAGACAAATGCTTCTGAAAGTGATTTTTTTTAAATGGAAACTTGAAAATTAGCGGTATCCACTCATGTTAAAAATGCTGAGGAGTTTCACACTTATGTAGAATAATTATGCATTCATCCAAAGCTCTTCCTTGCTGTCACTACATTTGTCTTTGGTATTTGGATTCATCTATGTCATCACAGCAGAAGGCTAGGACTTCACAGCTGTCATCTTTTAATATTGAATATTATGACTGTAGGGAAGACTTTATATACTAAGTCTATTTCCATGCTTTATTTTTATTTATTTATTTATTTATTTATTTATTATTTTATTTTTTTAATTTTTAAAAAATGTTTATTTTTTAGAGAGAGAGAGAGAGCATGAGCAAGGGAAGGAGGGCAGAGAGAGGGAGACACAGAATCTGAAGCTGGCTAGAGGCTCTGAGCCGTCAGCACAGAGCTCAGTGTGGGACTCGAACTCAATCTGTTGGGTCATGACCTGAGCTGATGTCACTTAACTGACAGAGCCACCCAGGCACCCCTATTATTTTATCTTTTAAAATGTTTTATTTATTTTTGAGAGAGCACAAGTGGGGGAGAGGCAGAGAGAGGAGGACAGAGTTTCCAAAGTGGGCTCCATGCGACAACAGTGAGCCTGATGTGGGGCTTGAACTCATGAACCGCGAGATCATGACCTGAGCTGAAGTCAGTC